TGGGAGCCAGCAGGGCCAAGGACAACACAAGAAAACCTACAGAATCAACTAACTTGGGCTCACGGGGGCTTACAGACAGAGAACTTGCATGGGACTGACCTAGGCCCTCTGCACGTATGTTACAGTTGTGTAGCTTGGTCTTCTTGTGGGACTCCTAACAGCCAGGGAGTAGGGGCTGTCCCTAACCCTGTTACCTTCTTTTGGGACCTTTTCCTCCTACTGGGTTACCTTATCTAGCCTAAAGAGGAGAGGAAGTACCCACTCTTACTGCAAATTGATACACCATGACTGACTAACATATATAGGAGACCTGAACTTTTTTTCTGAAGAGAAAGGAGGAGTGAATGAGGAGAGGTTGGGGGAGGGAGTGGGAGAAGGGGAGGGAGGGAGGGGAAACGGTTGGGGCTGGAGAAAAATTAATGAATTAATTATTAATAAAAATGAAAAAAAAGAAAGAAATTCAATATTGTATCTCAGGGGCCCTGGGTTGTGTGTGTGTGGCTAGGGATTGGGGAGGAGGACTCAGACAAGAAGGGATATGGGTATCCCTCTACTCCCTAAACTATTTCACTGATAAGAGGTAATTCCTGATCAAGTGAAAAACCAGAGGCAACTCAGGGTTTGCATGCCAGCACTGTTCTTTACTAGTTCTGTGTCTTAGGAAAGTCAACTATTCTCCCTGAGTTTAGTGTCTTCTTTCATAAAATGCATAAAACAAGAGTTACAAAAAGTACTGGAAAGAGTAAGTCAAGGTTTGCATGGCATAGATCATGATGCTTTAGCACACAGCATGTGCTGACCAAATATCATTTCCTTTTCTAAAAGATGTAAATATATGGATGTGCAGGCATATATACATTAATAAATATTTATATACACATATGTACATATCTATACAAATATATCTATGTATGTATCTATATATCTATGTATCTATCTATCTACACAAACACAAACACTCACACACATACCAGCTCCTTTGTGTAGATAGTTCTGCACATGCAGTTTGAAAATAATAAACTCAGAAGGAATCTGCAGGGCAGCAGTATTCTCTCTTCAGCACTCCCTGCTTGTGGCAGCCCTAAGGATTATCTATGGTTCTTCCTCTGTGTTTCCAGCAGAAACCTTCAGTGGTTTTTATTGGCTGTCCAGAGTTATTTTTCAAAGACCTGAGATATTTATACCAACTCAGTCCACATAGATCACTAACCTAAAGGGCATTTTCAACCAATGTATTTACTTCTGAGATGAAAAGAAGCTGTAGGGTGGATCCACAGAGCGCCCTCTTGCACTGCTTAAGAAAGCAGAACTGATCAAACAGTCCGATCAAACTGGCACACTCCTCAGCTAACAAGACTCTGAGCTGACTGTGGCAGCTCCTAAAGCTTCCCATGCAGGTGGAGCAGATGGAGCATACTGCACAGACAGAACTGGAAACAAACTGAGTAAATCATTACCAGGAACACCCCAAATGGCATTATGATCAAAGAAACCTAACCAACAATAATCATAAACTGTGGAGCAGAAACGCCCACAGTAAACTTTACGGTCCCAGTTCCACCACTAATTAACTGGGAAAGGATTTAAACAAATCGTATTTTCTAGTTCTTAAAGTGCTGACACCTGCCTCACTACCAAGTCAGAAACATCTCTTGTGTGTGCTCTTGCCAAAACCCGCAACTCTGGTCTAACCATGAGAAATCCCTAGCAGAACTCACATTGAGCCACCCTACAACTCGTACTCTTGGATAGTGGCGAAGGTATTACTTTCAATAGTGAAGACCAGAGAGTAATCCCTGATGGGGAGCACACAGCAATGAAACCTGGGGTCCTGCATTCCATTCGGATGAAGCAACAGGAGTGCGGGTAAAACTGGCAAAATTAGAATTTGGTTTATATAGAATTATACAGGTTATACCCAAACTGACAGCACTGCACAGATGTTAAGTTTCAGTTTTGATAATTATGAGTGTGTGGCACAAACTGTATCACAGGCTAGACAGCAACTAACTCTGCAACTTTGGAAATCTTAATTTTTTTTTCAAGTTTTATCATGCAGAAATTTAAGGCAGTGGCTCTTTTTTTTTTTTTTTTTTGAAACATGTTTCCTTCATCTAATGGTTACATTTTGACCATCAGCAGGAAAAAGAATAGGGCAGTGTTGGCCAAACCTAGGATGAGAAGGGGTTTAAAAAAAAAAAAAAATGAGGACTTTTTATATGTGAAGTGAATGATTACAAATAGTCTTACAAAAATCTTCTAACCAAGACTATTTCATTGTTTCCAAAACACAATCATGAATGGGTGCTTAAAGAAGGGCAGATTTACTGTTTGGTCAATGATGACAGGCTTAAATGTACCTAATACCATCAGCCTTTAAACATCACGTCAGATTTTCATTTCTCTGACTTTGTGATTACTCTCATCTCGTCAGATTTCAACAGTTTCCTGTCAAGCAACACCTGACAAAATAAACCATTTTCACATAAATTGTAGACATCCACAATGAATATGGTATGATGTGCTCTTATTCAGATTTTCTTCCCCTGCTTCCTTCTTGAAAATACCGAGACACTAAACCCAGAACCTCTCCCATACTAGGCAAGCACTAGCCACACCTCTAACCCCTTTCTTGCTACTTTATGTTTGAGTGTACATGTCACTTTGAGGAGTAAATATGTCACACTTCTCACAAATACCACATTTCTTATCCAAGATATTGCTTAAAAAAAATCCCAAAACATTAAAAGAACTTAGGATTCACAGTACATTCAGCACAGTTTCTAACAAAGCACACTATGGCTCATCTATGTCGGCTCCCACCTCAGGGGGCAAGTTCACAGCCTAAACCAACAACCAAGTAACTTAACCATTCCTTGGTTTGATAAAAACAACAACAACAAAAAAAACCACCTATGTGATAAATATGCAATTCCTTCTATTATAATATGCTCTTACAAAAATATTTTTTTGTTTTCTACAAAGGTTATGAGATGTCATAAAAATGTCCAGTGCATCTGGTTTGAGAATCCAATTCTTCCTTCACATATTTCTGCATCTGTTCACAAAATCCCTTGGACTTCAAAGGAAGCTTTTCAATAGAAAAAGAAGACACACACAGGAAAAGTGGCCATAAATTTTTAGGAGTCGTTTTCCAAGGCCACTTTAATAATGGCAATATAGGACAGCTATCTCTTTCAGAAACCTAAAATGCCAAAACAGCACCAGTGACTACAGTTTTGTATGGAGATTTATGCCTTCAAATTTTTCTGGTTATAAAAGTGATATATTTGCAATTTGAAACACATGAGACAAATGCTTAAAGCATACTTAAATTACTTTTAATCCACTATTTAGGATGAACAAAACACAACAAAAATGTTAAAGAAGGTTGTTTCCTTCCAGTCTTTTTTCCTAAGTGCAAACACTTATGTACAAAAAGTACAATGTTTAATCCCTTCCATCAGTCTTTCAGGAGGACTTCATTAGTGTTTTTACACCTCAGTCATCATGTGCACTGCCACTTAGCTGTATCCCCAGCCATCATCTTACTTTTTATTTTGAGATAAAAAAAAAATCTCACTTAATTACCAGACTGACTTTGAACTTACTTTGTAGCCCAGTCTGGTCTTGAACTTGTGATCCTCTTACCTCCACTTCATCCCCCAGAATAGTGGGGATTACAGGCCTCTGCCATCAGGCAGGGCTTGCCCTCGTCTTTCATGCCATCATTTTTAAGTGATATGCATTATGACACTGCAGAAACAGTACTTTAACATTTAATTCTTTTTATTTAAAGCTAAATTAAGGGTTTTAAAATAGCAATCTGTCCTAGAAATTCTTGGTTGCATACACATTAATATGCCTATCAAATTTCTATTCTAAAGAATCAACTTCCCAAACCTCAAGGAAAACAGCATTTGATGGTTAAAGCTGGAATCAATTCTTACCTAACACTGTTTCTTAAAACTTAAAGTAACATTTGAAGAGCTGTTTGCCGAGTCTCCAGTATATTATGTCTTTTATTCTTACAAAATCTTGTGAGGTTTATATTAATGAAGAAAAGAGAAGTTCAGAGAACAAGTAACTTATGGGATGATTAGAAACATAATCTTACATGTTGGTTTTCATCTACACTCACTACTGGCTATACTTTATCTTTATAGTCATGAACCCACAGGATTTCCAGGCTTGGAAACATTAACATGCCAATCAGTTCAACTCTTCCTCTATCCCATCTGCTAAAGAAAATAAGCCCAGAGGATTGAGACTCGGTCTATAACACAGTTAGCAAATGTCAGAAAAAGCCAGGAACGTTTGGGATGTTTTCCCAACTTCCAGGCTGGCTTGCTTTTCAGTACAACAGTTATGATAAGACATCCTCATGTCACATCTGTGCATTAATGGTGATGAAGGAGTTTCATCACAGAAGCTCAAATGTCCGTCCTTCCTTGATAATCTAAGTCAAAAAGCCATATTCTGGGATGTATGGTGCTTGTCTGAAGGAGTGGAAGCATACCACCAGGCACTGCTTGGTTTTGAGGGTAAAATGCAAATATGGCGGGTCTCAACCCAAAGTATCAAGCTCAGCAGCAGTCGTGGTCAGGCAAGTGCTGTCAGGCAAGCAACAGAAAAGCACCTCTGGGTTATTGTGGGTTACAGGGCCTGGTGCATACAGGCCTAAGTTTCAAGACATTCCACGCTGCTAGCTGCAGCACCAACCTAAAGACCAATTCTAAGGCACCTTTTCCGCTTTTTCCGCTGCACCCGGGGTAGCTGTTACGGAAAGGGGGATTAAAAAAAAACAAAAAAACAAAAAAAAACATGACAGAACAGTGAGCGCATAGAGCGACCTCAGAGCAACTAGGTCTCTAACAACATCGCGCTCTTTCAAGAGATGGCTTCCTGCGTTGCCTGGCAACGGTGGCCACGTGGCCGGGCGGCGCGAGCCTTCCAGCCGCATTGCCTTATTCTGTCACGTGTGTTTGCGACGTCGCCGCGCTCCGAGTCGGGGACACTCACAGGCTAGTAGGACCTCGGAGAGAAAGTGCAGGGGACTCTTTACAGGAAGCAAGGAGGGAGAAATCAGTGCCGGGAGGGAAGGGGAGCGGCAAGGCGCTCGCAGGACCGGAAGCCCACTGCAGAAGGCCGGCTCGGGTTACCTGGGGTGCAGGAGTAGCTGCGGGTCCCTTGTGAAGTGCCCGGATGAAGCTCCAGCACTCACGCGCCTTCCGCACGGAGCACAGCGCCATCTTGAGAAGGGCGGAGCCGCCTGGCCCGGAGTGACGTTTGCGGGCAAGCCAGAGGTGTGCTTACTGCGCATGCGCGGGTCCTCTAGGTGGCTGTTGGTCGAGCTAGGAGTGTTTCCTGGGTTTTCAGAGCAGGTGCGGCCGGGGAATGAGCTGGGACTAGGCTTTAGCGTTTTCCCTACAGCCTTCCTCTTTGTGCCGGCTTCCCTGAGGGAGCCTCTCTCCCCTCGGGAATAAGTTGTGCTTTAAACATGGAAGTAAAAGAGATCACCCACCCTAAACCAGGGCCATAAAACAGACCCAAGGCTCCTGGGAACCTGCGGCCCATGGATTACCATGGACACCAAAGGTGGCAAGAGTAATAGGCAATCTCCCACCCTGCAGTTTTGAAAATAAGTCACTGACTCTAGCGAAGCTTTGCCCCCCGCCCCATCGCTTTCTACTACAAAAATTTGTCAGACCCTACATGGCTTGCTCTTTGGTACTCATGGATACTGAACCGAAGGGCACTACCCTCCAAGACCAAAAAAAAATCTGCTCTCACGGTTTTTTGTTTGTTTGTTTTTGTTTTTGTTTTTTTCCATTTGATGAGATTCTATTAGTTGCTTACACTAATTTCTTTTTTTTAAATTTTTTTATTTTATAATTTAATTTTACATATCAGCCACAGATTCCCCTGTCCTCCCCCCTCCGACCCCCCAGCCCACCCCCCATTCCCATCTCCTCCAGGGCAAAGACTCCCCTGGGGATTTAGTTCAACCTGGTAGATTCAGTTCAGGCAGGTCCAGTCCCCTCCTCCCAGGCTGAGCGAAGTGTCCCTGCATAGACCCCAGGTTCCAAACAAGCCAGCACATGCACTAAGGACAGGTCTCGGTCCCACTGCCTGGGTGCCTCTCAAACAGTTCAAGCTAATCAACTGTCTCACTTATCCAGAGGGCCTGATCCAGTTGGGGGCTCCTCAGCTATTGGTTCATAGTTCATGTGTTTCCATTAATTTGGCTGTTTGTCCCTGTGCTTTTTCCAATCTTGGTCTCAACAATTCTCACTCATACAATCCCTCCTCTTTCTTGCCAATTGGACTCCCGGAGCTCCACCTGGGGCCTGGTCGTAGATCTCTGCATCCGGTTCCCTCAGTCATTGGATGAGATTTCTAGCATGACAGTTAGGGTGTTGGGCCATCCTATCACCAGAGTAGGTCAGTTCGGGCTTTCTCTCGACCATTGCCAGTAGTCTATTGTGGAGGTTGCTCTCACGGTTTTGAGGTCAAACTAAATCTATTTCATTTTCCCTCCACTGACTTAGTTTTTACAGGAAAAAAAAAAAAGTCAAGTAGGTTGTTTTTCAGACCTAGCTACCAGACGTAGCTTTCTATTCGTGTCTCTTAAGAACAAAGCCTGCTTCTCCTAGAGGACCATAAGTGGCTTTTTGAGACCTATGTCGTGGTCATAGGGGCCCCAACTTTACTCTAGTTCCCTGAGTGAAATACTCTGATGATACAAGGGTATGTGTGTATCTTGCCTTTAGGAAGTGTGGAGTCTATTGGATAGCAGATAAATACTTGGGGCACACTGAGGAGGTGGTGTAGAAGCAAGTACCACGTTCAGAGTAGATGATGCTTAGGGCTGCAGTGCTACCTGGTGATTTAGTAACAGCTTAGTAATCCAATGATGCTCGGTGGAAGAAAGGGTTTTGTATTAAGATAGTTGACTTCTATCAGTGTCCTGAAAACTCAGATTAAAAATCAGTAAAAATATAACTGAAGCAGATTTGGCACAATCCTATTGTATTTCTTATATTAGTCTATGAAACATATACTGGAAATTACCAAGGGATCATGGGAAGTTAAGTTGTATATGAGGTGCCTGTACTCCTAAGAAGTTCAAATCTAAGGATAAGATGAACTCAAATCATATAATAAAATCTCCGAAGTGTGCAATTGACCCTGAAGTTCAAGTACAATCATTATAATTGGAAGTGAGCAGGGAAGGAATTACAGGTATGAGGTCATAGTTTGTTTTTTAACAGAACATATCAACATGATTTTGGTTTTGTCAATTAAATTCAAGCTGCATGTACTGCCAAGTGCAAGGCACTTGAACTGCGTACCTGAGTGTGGACCTTAGGAGAGACTTGAGCTACAAAACATGGTATTAGGAGCCAAAACAAACACACAACAAACAAACAAATCCAAGACAACCACGGGAGGAGGAAATGATATAATTTCAAAAAATAAAAAAGAGAGGGAACAACGTAATAATTAACCTTGCTTGCCTTGGATTTTCCATGCAGTAACCTAAGCTAATGCATAGCTGTAATGTTAAGATAAATACCCTTCCATGCCTCTGACCCAGAGAGCAGCGCACGTAGTTATTTTTGTGTTATATGGTAGTCATTTGTTGAAAGCTACAAATAGGTTGAACACAACCCTACAAACAAATCCACCACAAATGCTGGAAGTAGCAGTTAGATATTGCTTGATAGCTTTGGTTTATTACCAGGGTCAGTTCAAGTCAGTAAAGTTTCATCCTTTGTAAAATTCTGTTAAAGATATCTGTAAAGTATTCATCCCATCGCCCACATCATGCTTTCTTTGCTGTTCAATAAATGCGGAATAAAAGCCCGTTGCTAGGGACACACAGACACGAGGACAGATTTACATGACGTCATTCAGGCAGCACCGATTGAGACTCACAGAAGACAGATTGCAAACATGAAGCAATGGAGGACACACGGGGAGATCTGGGCTTGCTTTTGGGAAAAGATTATTTATGTTAATGGATCATCAATGCATTTTCAGCACTTTGAGGTAATTATTTGTAAACTGTAAGATGTCATTAGAGATTTAATAGCTAGTTGTTGCCTGGACAAGGACTATATAATATCTATTATACTATAAAAACTTCATAAATATTAACATTTCTCCAATCACTTAGGTAAGTGCCTTACACGGAGCAGTCATATGTTTTAAATCTAAATTTTATTTTATCAAGTTATATGACATGGTTTTTAAAAAAATTGGGATACTTTTAACAACTTTTAATCAACAACTGACATAAAAGGACACAATACCCATTACAGCTAGTTCTATTTAGTTTTGTACTTTTTACAAAGTGTTTAGTATTTACAATAGTATTTAGTATTTTACAATAGTGTTTTAGTATTTAGTATTGAAAGAATGAGCAAAGAGCTGCCGCCTTCTAAACAATCTTCCAAAGGAACAGTATACAGGTGTTGCTTAATTTAACAAATATCTTTAATAATAGTAACTGTGAATCTTTAAAAATCCTTTAAAAGTGTTTCCATACAAAATGATTAATGCTTTAAATAGGTTACAATGCTAAACTTGTTCATACAGAAATTTATCCGAGAGTATTGTTTAAATGACACACCGTGTTTAATGACAGCATTTTACTTCTGGGATCATTTGAGTAAGATGAAGTATTTTCTTAAAATGAGATATAAATTAGTTACTAGAGCAGTCTTCAAACACTCTTAAAATATTAAACTTTTGTATTCTTAAACTTGTAGCATGCACCATGTGTGTCTACATGTGTTCATGTTTAGGAGTTTGAGCACTTGTTTAAAATTTGATTTCTCATCAACACTTTTATTTTATAGTAAGTTCTGGTAATTTTGCTCTCTTCTTAACATTCTCTGAAAATCCTCCCTTGCTAGAAACAACAGATTAAAACCAGACTGGCAGTTGAGGAGCTGTGTCTATTGCAACCATGTGTGTCAGAAAGGAGGATTGGGTTTCCTTGTCCGAGAACATCAAGGGAACCTCCACCTCGGCAGACACACCTCCACTCCTCAGTAATGGAGAGTTTATACCTAGTTAGATTTAAATGGGATAAGGGAAGAGTTTAAACCCACTCTTAGCGCCGGTGGTATAATCAACCCCCAAGTCTCAAAGTATCCAGTTTTGTTTCTTTAATTTAATTCTAAGTGCCACGTTGGTATTAGGTGCTGATCAAGGTAATGGAGAGTTGCCCTACACATTTATTCACTTAAAGGAGAATTTTGCAGACTGCAAAAATTAGATGGCAATTGTATTCAAAACTTACTTTAAGCATAACCCATTCACCTGACCCTTCATATTGAGTATGCTTTTTTTTTAATGTGGAGGAGGAGATTCCATAACAGAAGGAAAATTGATAATTATGGGAGCACAGCAACAGTTCTCTGACCATGCTATCTTAGCCTGGACCCATTATACAAACAGAAATAAAAGTGATTTGTGGACTCCTACCCTTCCGTGAGATAACTGTCATGTACATCAAAGCCTGTGTGAAGCTGAAATAACGACTTGGTGACTGTTCTTTTTCAGCTTTGGCTGAAACTGGTCCATAGATAGTACTTATCACAAACCATCCCACAAATAGGAGAAAGAACACACACACACACACACACACACACACACACACACACACACACACACACACTTCAATTCCATTTCCATATTAGTGCCTTGCTAAGAACAGCGAGTATCTGGTTTTTAGAAAGGTGATGCTGTTCTCTTCAGCTCCATATTAGAAGATATCTTTTCTCTAGTTTTTTTTCCTGTGTGTGTGTGTGTGTGTGTGTGTGTGTGTGAAAATTATCTCATTGTGAAAATCATCAGAAGACTCATTGTGTACTTTGAAAGGCCCCTTAGCAGTTTTAAGGTAGACATCACTGTCTCTTTTAGACTGTGCAATCTAATAAGATCAAGTGAGAAAGCAAGGGATGTGAATAGCAAGAATCTCAAGGGTTCTTGAGTCCTACTCCACAGTGTTTTCAATGTGGCTAATAGAATGGGGGGGGGGAGGCTGGAAAGAGATGGCGCATGCCCAGTAGGCAATTTGGATGCAGCAATTTTCAGAATACAGACTCCTGTGGTCTTCAGTGTGTAGCAGCAGGAGAACTAATTGCATGGAGAGTGATGCAGGCCAAAGGGTGGCTGTTAGTTCTTAATAGTTGCATCTTCACCAGATGAAAAGGGTCTAGTGGAAGCTGCAGCAAGAGCTGGTACCAACCTTCCAGCCTTCCCACAGCTCTCCTTCTCTGCTTGTCCCGCC